CAAATAAAATAATTGTTAAATAACGAACCAAATAGTAAATGAAAAAATAATAATCTCAAATAGCTACGAGATTTTTTTATAATAGTTAAAAAAATTATAAAAATAAAATGAAGAAATTTGTAAAAGTAATCTCAAATTTTATTTTGTTTTGAAAACTAACCATTCTTTCAAAATCTTTGAAAAATAACATTTTTCATACTTAAAATTACAAAAATATCCAAATCAAAATCCACTTTATATTTTTTTATAAAAAAGGCAAGAATGAATATCACATCATTTTTTAATTAAAAATAGAATATAAATCATCATTTTAATTGTCGTTAAAAAAGGGAACATGAATTTGGTTCTTCCATTAAGCTATTCCTAAGATTTTATTGCATTATCTAACAAAAAATCTAAATTACAAAACTAAAACATTCGATGATATTTGTGTAAGATTTGAATTTTTAGAAAGCTCTATATAAAAAAATTGGAAAATTGCAAAAATGCCACTTTTTATGTGTACATTTGCAAATATGCCACTTAAGAATGTTCATTTGCAAAAATACCATTACTTATAGATTTTTAAACCCTATATCTTAAAGTTCTAAACACTAAAAAATGTTTTGACCCCTAAACCCTCATAACTAAATTCTAATAGAACACAATTAACCAAAACATAAGTAATATAAAGAAAAAATAATTTTGAAAAAGTGGCATTTTTGTAAATATTTCAAAAGTGTGGCATTTTTGTAAAGTAACACTTGAAAAGTGGTATTTTTTGAAAATTCTCTAGAAAAATAGCTAGTCTCTAAAAAGTGAGTTTTTTTCCTTCTTAAAAATGGTACAATTGTTTGGGATTTATGAAGATTGGGTGATGCAGAAAGGATCATGGAATTTTGTGATTAATCACAACAAATAAAATAAGTTTTTTCAAATCATAGATGGTATGAAATTGGATGAATTGGTTTAATTATGGCATAAATAGTTTGGTTGATGTTATAGAGGTTAGTTACATATTTCTTAATCCGATGTTAGTGAATATGCCATAAGATATTCGTCCTATGATCATTGATAATGATCGACAATTATAGTTTTGTAAAAAATTTGGAATATTAAACCAATCCTCCCAAAAAATAAACTACGATTAGTTTCGAAAATGATTTTTCTTTTAATTTTAAATGTTCAAAAATTTATCATGATATTTTTGTCTTTTTATTTAACAAAATGTTATTTTAAAAAATTTTCAAAACAAAGGTTAATTTTCAAATTTAGTAATTTTTTTGGAATATTAAACCAATCCTATAAACAATAAAGAAAAAGTAGAGATGAAATATAAATTTTAATCAAGAAAAAATATGAATGATAAAACAAAATAATTTTTATAAATTGAAAAACAGGAAATTAGAAAGAATAAGGATATCTCAATTTAGAATATTTTTTTTTCACTCTCAATTTTAAATTTTATATGTACAAACATACCAAAGAAAGAAAAAAAATTATATAGAATATTACAAAAATATTGAAATCTTCTATCTAAACTTTTCAATGTTAAAAAAGGAAAATTATATAAAATAAAATTGATACATGTTCAAAGATAATAATAATATATATACTGTTAAGATCCAAAAGTATAAGATTTGACGAGTATACATCTCTATGAAAATAAACCGATGACATCAATGACATTTATTAAGAGTCCCATTTATCAATCAAAGATTTACAAATAATGTTTAATAAAACTATTTATAAAATATTTTAAACGTTTTTATGAGATCATTCACATAATTTTATTATTTTAGGATTTAACTCTATAATATTTTAATTGTTATAAGGTTTTATCATATAATTAATATAAATTCATAATGTGTAAGAATATTTTTTATTATTATTAAAAAAAATGATTTGAATTTCATTTATG